CCCCAAAGCAAAGATGAGTCTCCCTTCCCCTGACATTAGCATAGCGGGTGCTAATTACTCCGCTAGGTGCTCGTGAGCCCTCGTGGCGAGCCTGGACCCCGCGGCCCCTTCGCAAGACGCTCGTTAACTGGATGTGCTTAATTACATAAGAAGGTAATTACACGTGAGCGGCCGTGTCTGGAGGCTGCCAACTAGTCTGCTCGCTGTTTTAATTGGCCCTCAGCCCGAGGTTTTGTCATGTTTATTTTAGAGGGAGACCATTAATTGATTCGGCTAATGAAGTAAATATGTTGGATATCCTTTCCAGGTGGGGTGGCATCCGACCAAGCTGGCCTTTGCTAATGCGATGCCGGCTGCCGTGCGCCCGCTTTACCACGGCTGCTAACAACATGCTGACACATACACTCCGCTTAGCAGTTTCGTTTAGCTAATGCCTGCTAGCCGCTTAGCAGATCACATAAAACATGCTAGCTGCTTAGCTGATTTGTTTGTCCAGCACATGCTAACCGCTTGACAGAATCGATCGCCTAGGGCTTGCTAGCCGCTTAGCAGATTTGTTCGCCTAACATTTGCTAGCCGCTTAACAGATCTGTTTACCTAAGACATGCTAGCTGCTTAGCTGTTTTGTTGCCTAGCATATGCTAACCGCTTGGCAGAATTGATCACCTAACGTATGCTAGCCACTTAGCAGATTTTCTCACCTACGACCTGCTTGCACCTTAGCAAATTTGTCCGCCTAACACATGCTAGCTACTTAGCATATTCATTTACCTGACGCACACTAGCTGCTTAGCAGGTTCGTTTACCTAAGGCATGCTAGCTGCTTAACAGATTTGTTTGTGTAATGTATGCTAGCCGCTTAGCACATTCATTTACTTTATTTGCCTCTGGAGGACTCGCAGCATCACTGCTGGCTTGTCAAAGTCATAAGGTCCTCCATCATTATCAATGAGATCTGAGAAAACGTAGCCATCCCATCACGCTGGACACGCATTGGAATGGAAGTACTCGCTCCTCCGTTACAGATCAGACTGCCTGGCGGTAAATTGTCGATATTTCATGGTTTCTGAAGCTTTAAGTTGAGGTTAATTCACAGTCACTGTCAAATTGAAGGCTTGTAGCGGGTTTCTGAAAGACGGGAGTCAAGGGGAAAGCAGGCAGGGGTCAAGGATCAGGGGTCCCAAGGCACCACAATACATGTGCACCAGTACACTGTTACACCCACCCCCCCCCCTCCAGGAGGTGGCACACGGCCCTCCAGATGCCCCACGCTCGATACCGGCCTCAGAGACAGTCTGCCTTACCCCCAGGGGGGAGTCCCCACCCCAGCCTGGCCCACAGGGATCCGTTGTGTTAAAACATGATATGTTATTTTCCAAAAAATATTTGTAAATGGAGGCTGCTTGATGCACCACCGGGACCCGTCCATGCGCTCGTCGCTCTGGGAGAAACGTGAGCCCCATTTCACGTCTTTAAGGAGACCCGCCTGCCCCCAGGGTGTCCCCTCGTGTGACCCGCCTGCCCCCGGGGTGTCCCCTCGTGTGACACGCCTGTCCTCTTTAGCGATCATTAAGCC